GCCAGATTTGAGTTTAAAGCATTTCTTAGCCCGATTTGAGTTTAAAGCATTTCTTAGCCCGATTTGAGTTTAAAGCATTTCTTAGCCCGATTTGAGTTTAAAGCATTTCTTAGCCCGATTTGAGTTAAAGGCATTGCCTGCCTTTATTTTTGTAAAGATAAGGGATGCCACTATTTTGGAAGAAAAAGAAGACTTAAGTGCAATAGATTCAGAAACAAGGTTGTATAACCTAGTGTCTATGATGGCAGTCATGTTTCAAAATCAATTAACATCTGAAGACCACATATCTGAGTAATGGGATGGTATATTAGCATCTCAGAGACTCTGTAAAAGAACAGTCAAGTGTCCACAAGTTTTTGCAGATAGTTGTTAATTGTTATTGATCATTTTATAGCTCATGGTGACTTCTTTGAGCAATTTTAAATGATATCAATGCTTAAGGCTAGCAGCAAAAAAAGCCCAACAACTTTGGCACAAGCAGATTTGGGTCATCTTCAAAATCTATAGTAAATGGCTCATAGATGACACAAGTGTAGTAGGGTTGCCAAAAACATAACAGTTGGCTCATACATGGTACAATTCTAAAGCTAGGTTGACCAGAAATTCTTCTATCTGGCTCATACATGGTACAATTGTAAAGCCAATTTGTCCAGAAATATTACACTAATTGGCTTGTACATAGCACCTGATTGTAAAGCCAGATTGTCAAGAAATTCTATACAAATTGGCTCATACATAGCACCAGTGTAAAGCTAGGTTGCCAAGAAATTTCATACTTATTGGCTCATACATGGCACCAGTGTAAAGCCAAGTTGTCTAGAAATTTCATACTTATTGGCTCATGCATGGTACCAGTGTAAAGCCAAGTTGTCTAGAAATTTCATACTTGTTGGCTCATACATGGCACCAGTGTTAAGCCAAGTTGTCTAGAAATTTCATACTTATTGGCTCATACATGGCACCAGTGTAGAGCCTAGTTATCCAGAAATTCCATACAAATTGGCTCATACATGGCACCGTTATAAAGCTAGGTTGTCCAGAAGTTCTATACTAATTGCCTCATACATGGCACCAGTGTAAAGCCAGGTTGTCCAGAAATTCTATACAAATTGCCTCATACATGGCACCAGTGTAAAGCCAGGTTGTCCAGAAATTCTATACTAATTGCCTAATGCATGGCACCTGTGTAAAGCCATGTTCTCCAGAAATTCCATACAAATTGGCTCATACATGGCACGGTTATAAAGCCATGTTCTCCAGAAATTCTATTCTAATTGACTCATACATGACACCAGTGTAAAGCTAGGTTGTCCAGAAGTTCTATACTAATTGCCTAATGCATGACACCAGTGTAAAGCAAGGTTCTCCAGAAGTTCTATACTAATTGGCTCATGCATGACACCAGTGTAAAGCAAGGTTCTCCAGAAGTTCTATACTAATTGCCTAATGCATGACACCAGTGTAAAGCAAGGTTCTCCAGAAGTTCTATACTAATTGGCTCATGCATGACACCAGTGTAAAGCAAGGTTCTCCAGAAGTTCTATACTAATTGCCTAATGCATGACATCAGTGTAAAGCAAGGTTCTCCAGAAATTCTATACTAATTGGCTCATGCATGACACCAGTGTAAAGCTAGGTTATCCTGAAGTTCTATACTAATTGGCTCATGCATGACACCAGTGTAAAGCAAGGTTCTCCAGAAGTTCTATACTAATTGCCTAATGCATGACACCAGTGTAAAGCAAGGTTCTCCAGAAATTCTATACTAATTGGCTCATGCATGGCACCAGTGTAAAGCCAGATTGTCCAGAAATTCTATACTAATTGCCTAATGCATGGCACCTGTGTAAAGCCAGGTTGAACAGAAAATCTATAGTAAATGACCCATACATGGCACCAGTGTATTGTACTGGTATTGTGTTATATGAATTCCTGGAAATTGTCATTTTAGCTTTCAAAACTGATTTTTTGTGTTGGATTCCTATAAATATTATACAGTATTATTTAATGTGACAAGTAAAATGTGTGAAGATTATATACCATTTGGGAGTGCCTCTGTTTTAGAATAAATAGAGAGCTGGATGTTGAAAAAAAAGAAAAGAGCAGTTAATACATTTATAATTATGATCTCTTTTGATTGTTAATGTGTATGAACATCATATTGTATAGTGAAAGAAATACAAAAAAAAAACACCTTGGTTAAATTACTTGTAATAAAATGCAATTAACCTTAAGCCTTGTATGTAAGACATCTATTAGCCCTTTAATTGTTATTGTTTTTACTATAAATGACCAGGACAAGTATAAAAACAACACGACTTTGTACTATTGAAAATGACAGAAAACAACAAAAAAACCTCTGATATGTACAGGTAATTTGATTGAGCATATAGATCCTAAGTGTGCCCTATCATTTTAAACATACATTATCATTAACAACAGAAATGTTACCTTGGATTAATTATTGTAATCTATTTCCTCAATGTACAAGTTCAATTGTTGATATACAAGTATGGTTGTCGTATATGTACAAGTTTGGTAGTTGTTAACACCAGAGGGGAAATACATTGATTTCATAACAGGATTGAATACATCATTTTTAATGACCCTATTTTAGCAATGCACTATTACAGGGCAAAGAGTATGTCAGTGTCTTTAAAACCAAAGTCACATGTATATACTATTAGCAGAAGGGAAAGGTTGATAAAAACAATTAGTATATTACTTTTATTTTTTTATATAAAGTAATACCTGAAAGAAAAGGTTGGTAAAAATTAGTCACTTGACCTAGTTTTCACATTTTTTTAGCACTTTTTCCTTCCTTAAATTCATAAAGATAAGTATATTTTTCAAATAAAATAATTATACATTTGTATTTTTACATTGAAAGTGGAGTTGATTTCTATATTCAAACTTACATAAAGATAAGTACGAAATATGTAAGAAACTTAACGTGACTGCAAAAGAAGAAAAAGAAGAATGCCATTGTGTACACAAGTATAGCATTATAGACCTTTAAGGGAGGGTGAAAATGACTGGAAAAGAAGGTGTGATCAACGCCATTGGCCAGCAAACTTTACTGGTAATGGTGTTTCAAACATATGTACAGGGGCCAAAGTGTGTCACTTACTGCGAAGAGTCTCCTTTTGTTCCCTAATTAGGTGATAATCCAACATGACATATGGTTCATAATGACAGCTGGATGTTGAAACATTTTACTGATATCATTTATAGTTGATTGTATAGGATTTATGATACACTATATAGATCTATAACAGGTTTCCTTTATAGATGTACTGTTTGCTCTTCCAGTAGTATGATGCAAGTTTGATAATTCATGATTTTGATTGACTAAGTTACTTATCAATATGTATTATGCTTATAGAAACATTGTGTTATATGTTCAAAGTAAATACATTGTGTATAAATAAACTGTATTGTTTATAGATTATTGAATAAATATATTAATATTAATATACTTTTGGACAATACTTAAAATTTATCAGTGAGATAAATGTCATATCACACTACATGTATTTGAAACTTGGTGAAATATAGAATTTGATACCTGATCTATAGATAAACAGATATAGTGAAGTAGAATATAATAATTTAAATGATGTGACAGGGGTGTCTCTATTTTTTTATGGAAAACCTTTAAATTTGATTTGCTTGTATAAATCCGTTCTTTGTTTTCCAAGTGGCATCATAAGTCTCTCAGGTATCCAATTTTGAATCCATGATTTAATATTTACTATTAATACTTGAGTGACTTTTAACGACTGCCTCACATGAAATCAATTTTTGTGTTCACCTGATTTATAATTAGAAATTTGTAGTTTATTATTTCAACCGTCATTTCTTATGACCTTTATTGTGTTCAGTTTTTCTGCCTTGTTGATTGTAATTATGTACGGACATGGTGCCGAGCATCATCTACGCATCTTTTTTCCCCTTATATATACATCAATAGATAAAAGAGCCGTAAAAAAACTTACAAGTTTACTCGGGCTTTTTACCAGGTTTTTTTTTTGTGTGTTTTTTTTTGAGAGAAAGAAAACAAAACATTTGGATGATCAATTGTGAAAGGTCCATCACGAACGATTGACGGAACAAAGATTCGGACATGTGATAAATTACAAATGAAAGTCCATGACAACACAAAGACTGGTTAATACTAAGTGTGTTAATGGCAAAATAGGATTTTGTAAATACCTTAACGTTGATTATGATGACAGTTTGATGTATAAAGCGTAGCTTGCCCCGAGCGATACATCCGTCGAACAGGGAAACCTTCGAATACTACATACTTATTAACAAGGGGTTAACTTTGCGGTTTACCAAATTAGGATAAATACTCCATACATTTTTTTTCCATATACATCGAGGAAAAAAAAAGTGAAAACAATCTTATATGTTGTGTTTGAATGCCCATACATCATTTTTGACTGGGCACCAATTATGTAAAAAGTAATTTGAATAATTCAGAAACATTTCATCTGTTAAAATATAATTTACAAATGACTAGTACTTTTGTTTTGAATGAATAAATAATCATATTCATTTTTTGAAACAATAAATTAGTGGACTGTTCAAGAGACATGAAAAAAATGATAGGGAATCGTTTATTAAACCCCCTCATAAAAATTCATATATACACAAAAATATTGACTGATCATTTAAAATTAATTAAAATAATTCAATAGTTCAATTGATGGGCTTTCCTGATATCAATCCTTTGAAAAGGAAATAAGGGACAGCTGTTTTTATCTGATTTTGATTATGCAATAGATTACCTAATTTCATCCAAATATAGATTAAAAAAGATTGTGACAGTTGCTATCACCTGTATCCAATTAGATTAACCAATCAGATTGTGGCATACAAAAAAGCCAAAGGTGCAAATCACATACCTGCCACCACCATGAAAAAAACCAATAAACCGAAAAATTAACAAGTACATTCAGTAGAGAAAAGTGTAGGGGCAATCTGAAAAAAAGGGAAGTGTCTTCAATAAAGTGGCAATGAAAATTAAGGGTCCACACTTCATTGGTTAAGCAGATTTGTAGTTGACTGTGCCGGGAACCAGATGACAGAGATTATAGGGCAGGTGTGGGAACCAGTCAACTATTACTATTACCTGGTGAATTACATTAATACAGTGACAGGCAATAACCTAAACAGAGCCTAAATATAGTGATGGATAGACAATGGGTTTAGGACAATGAAGGTATTATCTCTAGTCAAATAATAGTGGTGAAAGTGATCTTAAACCAACATATGGTGATCCAGTCACAGTGTTGTTAAATCTTGCGGAGGAAAAAAAAAATTCTCAAGAGTTATATGTGGAAGATGATAAAGGACCATTATCTAAATATGGACATGCTCTTTTTAACTGTGTGAATTATATTTTTTGATGATTGTTTGTTTACAAACTGTGCGTAAATGGAATTATTAACTATAGTGTGAATTAAATAACACAGTATCTCAGAGTACTAATTGGCTTAATTTTTGGGATATGAAGTAGCGTTAAATGATTATTACATAAAATATCACTCCAATTTATTTATAGATGATACAATATTGAGGAATCGGATGAAAACAAAAACAAACCAACAAAAAACTGTAATTTCTGAACTTAACGTTACTACACCTTAGTTTAAAGAGAAAAAAAAAAAGATTAAATCTTCATAGTGATACAATTAAAAAGGCTTATGGATTTTCGATGCGGTTTGACAGATTTACGAGTTGGTGTTTTTATCAAAAGATTAACATAATATTGGTACCATTTGAATTTTCAAAATTTGAATTTTCAAGATAACTAATTGAAGTTGTGACTATTTTTTACAAGCTAATGTATTTTAAATGCATTTGGAGAAGCTAAGTATATGCATTAATGTTATAGAATGCATTATACAAGTTTTCGATAGAGTTTAGAAGAGATGGGGACACGTTTTGATTGAATTAAGATACCAAATTTTATGAATAAAACTTGATAATCTTGAAATAAAAGGGCAATAAAACAGCAAAACTGTGGGTAGTTTGTAATGAAAACGGCTTTCCTTTCATATTGATGTACAAGGGAGAGCCTGGTACTTTGTTTAAATCCCTGTAATAACACCTGAGCTAGATAATGGCGGATCAATTTAGCCAGAAATCAACAAGTTACTAAAAGGATTGTTAAAAAAAAACTTTTCAAGTCAAGAAGGTTTGTAATGTAATAGAACTGATTTAAATCCACACGGAATTATAATATATATATATATATTTTATTTGTGATAAACTTAAACTACGCAAAAATGAAGGATAGCTCAGGGAAAGCAAAAGAAACGTCAAAGACACTTCTGGAAAATGCCGTACAAACATTAGCAGCTATGAAACAATTTTCAGGAAGAACCGAAGATGAGGCTGATTTGATGAGGATGTATTATCTATCTGATGGTATGGTATAGGTTTAGAATTCTAGCAATTTATCTATCTGATGGTATGGTATAGGTTTAGAAGTCTTACAATTTATCTATCTGATGGTATGGTATAAGTTTAGAACTTGTAGAATTTTAGTTTTACAGGAACTATCTTTGTTGTCTTTGAGGTAATTTCAATGTCATATGTCATCTCTACATTTAGTATTTATCATTTTTATTCAAGCTTTATTGTACTTTCAGGCTCATTCATTATCTTCTTTCATATTATGCCTTTGAATCAGCTCTTAAATTATGTTTTAGCATCTCTTCCAGACCTTTGGGGTTATTCGGTTGCCCTCCGCTTCTTTACTTGTCTTTGAGTTCTGCCTATTATCTTTGGGCTTGTTTTCTTCTTGTTAATCTTTAGCTGTATGACTCTTGTTTTACTTTTTCAGATCAAATAATTATTTTTACTTTATTTTTAATGGATTAAATGATCTAGCACAATAGGGAGAGCATTAGATTTGTAATCCAGTTAGGGTTGCAAGTTTTGTGCCAAAAAAAACCCCCAAAACAACAACAACAGACAAACAAATGTTAGTTGATCACGGTTTCATGATTTGTAACAGACATTAAGTTATATTATAATGATGGAGGTGGCATAAGTAGTCTGAGCTAATTGTAGCAAATCACAGATCTGTATATAGTTTTGAAAATCTGCTTTTGAAGTCTGCTAAAATCATAATGCTAGAAATGCAGGTGGTAAAATCAGAAACTTGGGAAGTCTGGTTTGAAATCATTCAAATCATTTGAAGACATACCACCCACATTATATATTGTCCTTGCCAAAGAGAGGACTGTTTTAAAACAGGCCTTAAGATTGTTGGGAATGTGATACAAAGGTATACTATAAACATTGATATAAGTGGTGGATTTTTTCCCCCAAGGATTCCGTGACTGACTTATGATACACAAAAATGTTTTTTGCAGAAATATTGATACTGTTTTCTTATCATTAGAATGATAAATTTGTATTTAAAGGAGACCACAGTGTAGGGATAATTGTAATGGGTATAGATATTTCTAATTATCTCCCTTGATATTGTTTAAGGAAATTATTTCCCTTGTGACTTTGTGTTACACAAATTATGTCCCGTTCCAGTTTTAAAGTATATTTTATAAGAATGATATAAAATGAATAGGGATGGCAACGAGTAACCGGTTAACCGAGTACTCTATCGAACGTCCGAATATCGGTTAACAAAATTGATATTCGATTACTCGAAAAAATATATATTTTCTATTTGTTTTGCGATTTAGAAAGATTGGTATATCCAATTAGTTCAGAAATTCGGAAATGTGCATGTATCTTCATAAATACTCGTTAAATGCAATCAAAACATCCTTGCAGAGGTGCGAAAATTATATCATAAATTTAACGAGGCGATCAACAGTTTGACACGCGCGCCTGTGTCGCTTATGTCATCCAGCCTCTTATGATATTTAATTACCTTTAATTGTGTAACAGTTTGTAGCCGAAGTAACTGTTATGAAAACAACAAAGGGCCGATTGCTATCATGAATGTAAGAATAAAGGTAACTAGTATTTAGAACAGGTTAAACTTTTGTTGCCGCCGATCAGTCTAAATTTTTTCAAGAAGAAAAAAAGATATATGAACTGTAATACATGTTTAAAAATTGATATTGCATTAATTAAAACGTTGTAAAATATTATGTTGTTGATTTAATTATAATTAATTTGTCTCCCGTGCAGTCCTATTTACTATCTTCAGAGTTCTATGAATTTAAATAGAAAACGAAAGTAGCATGCGGACGGTGTTGATATTGTGTGATAAACTTTGTAGATCACTGGCAATCATCCGAGTAACCGAGTACTCGATCGGAAAAATGACCGAGTACTCGAGTATTGATTTTGGTATTCGTTGCCATCCCTAAAAATGAATATAGATGAAAGAAGCTATGTTAGTTGTGTAAGTTGCTGAAACTTTTATATTAATACATCATATTTATAATAGAAAAAATCAAACAATACTAGAGGTTTAATTATCTCCCTTGTCGATACAAAATGGTGCTGCGACATATATTGTTCTACAGGTAGAAGATACTCATAATCTTTTATGTGTATAATATATCAGTGTAAATGTAGCTGAAAATAATCCTTTATACATAATACATGGTCACTGTATGTATTAAATCCGGCTCAATCTGACCATTTGACCATATATGGGTGTGATAATTGGCCCAGTAATTATTGGCGAGGTTAATTAGATCGTTAAATCTGATATTGATCGTAGGTAAATCTGATACAGACCTGTACATACTTGGCAAATGTATAAATACAGAGTGATACTATGATACTATATAACACATATTGGCACAACCAATACAGCTCTGACCTAATATAGAATATCAAGTCTAGTGGTGTTAGTCTGCCTGTAACCTAAATCTTTCTTTAGTGACCTTTGAAAAACTGAATTGTTGGAAGTTAGCTCCCTTGAGAATATTAAACAAAGCCTTGATAATAAGATAATCCTGGCTGGTACTTCTGAATGCATTATTGTCATAAAGGTCAACTTTGTTGTTGTGAAAGGTCATACAGATTTCAGAGATTATTGTTAATAGCAATGATGTGTTGATAAGCCTAACATAATGTTCCTCTCTGTTTTTTTGGTTGGAATTTATGTCAAGATAATATGATGATTTGTCGGCTAGACATCATTACATATAGCAACAAGAAAAGCATTGATGCAAAGCATCAAAGGGCGTCCAAGCAAGAAATGCAGCAAGTGAAGATGAACTAGTACACGTATGATGACAAGATATTCTTATAAACTACCAGAAATGTATACCACTTATGAATGAGCGGACGAAAGACATTGTTCATTATGAACTTTGATTGGCATGCTAGAGATTAGAATATTACTTGTTATTTCTTTATGATCGTGGTTATTAATAGCAACGGATATACATGTATGCAATCATTTATAATCCATATGTGTAACGCATGATCAACACGTACCACACATTTGTCCCTTATTAATTTATGTACATGTTATCGCTATTAGCGAAGACCCCCTTAAGGTATCTGTTCACACTTTAAGTTAGTAAAAATATGACACTGGTTATATTACCATGTTGATCATGTTGAGCATAATTGTTTATTATACAATAATTGTAATATCTATTAATTTTAATTTAAAAAAAATACAAATTTTATGAATATTGTTTTCTTTTATTCTTTTTTGTGTTTATGTGCTATTTTAATACTGAGTTTTTACTACTCTTTTTTATTAAAATTGTAAAATAAATTTTAAGAATTCAATTGTCATATTGACCGACGATAATAAGTCAAAGCTTAACTGGAAAAAGTCAGTAAATTATGGTTTATCTTTCAATATATAATATTGTTTATTCTTAAACCATGTACATGTACATTGTATTTTTATGCCCCCGCCATGTAATGGCCGGGGCATATAGTGTTACCCTGTTCCGTCATTCCGTCCTTCCGTCATTCTGTCATTCCGTCATCATCAGTTTCCGTTCATTATCTTAAGAACGGTTGGGCACATTCAACTCAAATTTGACATATGGATATGTCATGAGAAAATACAGGTCAAGTTCGAATTTGGTCATGGTTCGATGATTTTTGGCGGAATTATGCCCCTTTTACTTTGAAAATGATATGAAATTTCAGTTTCCGTTCATTATCTCAAGAACGGTTGGACACATTCAACTCAAACTTGACATATGGATATGTTATGAGAAAATACAGGTCAAGTTCGAATTTGGTTATGGTTCGATGATTTTTGGCAGAGTTATGCCCCTTTTACTTTGAAAATAATATGAAATTTTCAGTTTCCGTTCTCCCCAACGGTACAACACAATCAACTCAAACTTGACATATGGATATGTCATGAGAAAATACAGGTCAAGTTCGAATTTGGTCATGGTTCGATGATTTTTGGCAGAGTTATGCCCCTTTCACTTTGAAAATAATATTAAATTTTCAGTTTCCGTTCATTATCTCCCTCAAGGTACAACACATTCAACTCAAACGTGACATATTGATGCGTCAAAGGAATGCGCAGGTCAAGTTCAAATTTGGTTGTGGTTCGATGATTTTTGGCAGAGTTATGCCCCTTTTACTTTGAAAATAATATGAAATTTTCAGTTTCCGTTCATTATCTCCCTCAAGGTACAACACATTCAACTCAAACGTGACATATGGATGCGTCAATGGAATGCGCAGGTCAAGTTCAAATTTGGTCATGGTTCAATGATTTTTGGCAGAGTTATGCCCCTTTCACTTTGAAAGTAATATGAAATTTTCAGTTTCCGTTTATTATCTCCCCAATGGTACAACACATTCAACTCAAATTTGACGTATGGATATGTTTTTGGAATGCCCAGGTCAAGTTCAAATTTGGTCATGGTTCAATGATTTTTGGCAGAGTTATGCCCCTTTCACTTTGAAAATAATATGAAATTTACAGTTTCTGTTCATTATCTACCTAACAGTGTTACATATTCAATTTTAATTTGACATATGGATATGTCAAAGGAATGGGCAGGTCAAGTTGGAATTTGGTCATGGTTTGATGGATTTTTGGCAGAGTTATGTCCCTTTCACTTTGAAAATAATATAGATACATCTTAGGAATAAGCAGCAGTTTAAGTTTGAATTTGGTCATGGTTCAATGATTTTAGACAAACTTATCTTTCCTGAATGTTGGAAAAATTTTGAACTTTCAGTTTCAGCACTCATTCTTTTAGCCATTATTTTGGCTACAAATATGCAATATGCTTTTTCTATAGGTTAAGACTGAATAATTTCAGTGCCTTGAACGTTGTATGGAAATGGTTTGTGTTAACATTGAAAAGTTTTAAGGGCTTTGAACTTAAAATGAAAAAAAAAAATTAATGCACCATCTGAAATTTTGGCTGCATGCGGGGGCATCCGTGGCATGATGACACATTTCTAGTTCTTTATCATTTTTTAAATTATCGATCAATTGA